GCTGGTAGTCAAGAACAGGTGAGACAGGCCACCCAAAACGAATCTGACGCTTGAAGAGAGGAAGATGCATAGCTAGCAAGATAAAATCAGGGTGGGGCAGCTAGGTGGCACAGTGGATAGAGCTCCAGCCTTGGAGTCAGGAAGACCCGAGTTCAAGTATGACCTTCAACACTAGCTGTGTGACCTTGGCTAAGTCCCTTAACCTAGATTGCCTCCAAAGAAAAACGAAAATGCATGTATGGAGCACTTACTATTGTTCTAAGTACTGAAGAATCAAATAGAAAAGTAAGACTATTCTAAGGAAATCAGGAGTTCAAGGAGCTCACAGTCTCACTGGGGAGATAACACATACAGGTTTTAGCATGGTCCTTGGGGTGCAGCTGCAAAGCATATGGTCATGCCTCTTTCATGTTATTCCTACTAATAAAATCATATCAATGTCTGGTGCTAAACCACTTGATAATGCCAAGTACTTCAGTGGCAAGAACTTTCTTTTCAATGTGTCCTATAAAATTTATCAGGAAATTTTAAATCCGGGGATAAATTTATCCAAAACTGTTGATTTTCCTAGGGGAGTAACTGTGCTAGTGTTGAAAGGAATTCTGTTTTGGAGTCCTAGTTTCTGCCTTACTAATTGTGTGCCCTTGAACAAATCATTTTAACTTCTTTAAGCCTCAGTTTTCTCATTCTTAAAATGATTATAATAGTATTTGTGAGACCAGCCTCATGGAGTTGTGAGGATCAAATGAGATAATGGAATGTAACAGTCCTTTATAATATAGAAAGCATTATATACATGTAAACTGTCATAGTTCTTTAAGGTATCAGGATTTATTTAAAAGTTGTTTCTTCCATTTTTTCTTCTAAGAATGGGTAGGAATTCAATAGGTGAAGAAAGGGGACATGTTGCAGGCAGAGGAACAGATGCAAATTGCATGGCATGTTCAAGGGACAGGGAGCAGTCTGGTGCCTGGAATGCAGTATTGAAACACAGCAGGAAAGGTGGGGCAGGGTCATATCATGGAAAGCCTTGGAGGTGACGCTGGATTTGAACTAGACTTGGGAAACAATAGGGGCCACCGGGTTTTTGAGTAGGACTAATGTGACCAGATCTAGATAGAGAGTAGAATGATGTTGGTTACTGATAGGAAGAAGAGCAAGGATCTCAATTCCCACCGCCCACCCCTTTCCTCCAAATCTACTCCTCTCGGATCCTAACTCAGGTCAGAGTTTAGACCCAGATACCCCAAGTGGAAGTTAATCAGAAGACAAGACTTTAAGGGGCAGCTAAGCGGTGTGGTGAATAGAGCTCCGGCCTTGGAATCAGGAGGACCTGAGTTCAAATCTGGCCTCAAACCAAACACTTGACACTTACTAGCTGTGTGACCTTGGGCAGGTCACTTAACCCCAATTGCCTTTTAAAAAAAAAAAAAGACACTTTAAAAATACCCAAAGGCTTCTGTGGCTGGAGAACTGCCAGACTGCTTCATCCTTGGAGAAGTCCCACTCCAACTGACAACCAATAAATGCCAGTGTCATCTAAGCTGCCCAGCTTGAGAGTAGCAGGAAACAGCACTACATATGACATCACCAGGACACCAGTGGTTCTGCAGCATCAGAAGATTCCCCAATTGCCCAGGTCACTTCCTCCTGTTCCCTAGCTATGTATTTGCTGTGTATATGGATGCATGCATATATATACATATGTACATTTTCCTCCTATTCACATGCCTTTCCTCAGGTATTCTCTGCTCAGGTCCTTGGCAGACCCAGCAGGAAAAAAAAAATCCCAACTATCTAGCTCCCAAAATAATATCTGTCAAGATTCACTATTATCTGATCACAAACTACCCTTATTTTGTACCACTTCTGAACACCAACCCATTTGGAAGCCTGGGTCTGACAGCTAGAAAAGACCTTAGACAGCAGCCAGCCCAATCTCATTTGACAGAAAAGTGAGGCCCAAACAGGAAAAATATTTGTCCAAAATCACGTATCTTCTCCCAAATATTCTTATGACTCTTCTTAATCCTGCGTTCCCCTTCCATTTTCCTGTTTTTTGAAAGCAGGGTGGGCACCTCCCCTTCACCCCTGTGTTGCTACCAGTGGCTACCCTTAGGGCTCAGCTCAATTCCACCTCCCATAAGAACTTGCCCCAACCACATTACTTTTTATGTGTACATATTGTTCCTTTTCCCTTGGAGGGCAAAAAGTATTTCTCTTCCTAACCCCCGAACCTAGCACATGGTAGGCATTTAGCATGTTGAACTGAACAGAGGTTGGGACTTGTGCAGCTAGTGCCATTCAGAATCTGAAGCCAAGTCTCCAGCCCAGCTCTAACTATACCACCTCACCTCTTTAACATAAATATGCTGTTATAATAAAGTTCTGACAGTTCCATGGGTCTCAGTCTTACTTTCCCAAATGGACCATTAGCCCCATGTTCAATCAATAACCATTTTTAAAAGCCCTTGCTATATGATAGGCACTGTGCTAAAAGTGCTGGGGGCACAAATAAAAGCAAAAACAGTCCTTGCCCTCCAAGGGCTTACATATTACTGGGAGAGACCTGTAAATAAATAAGAACATATAAGACACAAAGTAGATGGCTGGCAATCTCAGAGGGAAAGGCAGCACTAGCAGCTGGGTGGGCCAGGAAAGGCCTCTTGCAGGTGGCACTTGAGCTAAGCCTCAAAGAAAGGAAGATTCTAAGAGGCTGAAGAAGAACAGTATTCTAGGCACAGGTGATATCCACATGTGTGCAAGCAATAGCAAGGAGGCCAGCATGCCCGTGTAGCTGGATCACAGAGAACTCAGAGGGTGTGCAGTTTAACACTGGAAAAGGAGGCAGGGGCCAGATAGGGAAGGGCTTTGAATACTAAACAGAGGATTTTATGTGTTGTCCTGGGGAAGGAGGAGCCACCACAGGTTGAGTGGGAGGGGGTGATATGGTCAGACCTATGCTTTAGGAAGCAGCTGAGTAGAAGATGGACTGGAGTGTGGATAGCCTAGGGATAAGAAGCCCAATGAGCAGGCTACTGCACAGTCCAGGTGTGAGGTAGTGAGGCTCTGCATCAGGATGGTGGCTGTACAATTGGAGAGAAGGGGACCTATGATGAGAGATGTTCTGACAGCAGAAAAGACAGTATTTGACAACAGATTATACGTGGGGTTAGTGTGAGCAAATAGAGAATGATGCCAAAGTTGCCAGCCTGTGTATCGGATGACGGTGTCCTACACAGAAGCAGGAAAGTCTGAGAGGGGAAGGGTTAGAGGAAAAGATTGTTGTTGCTCAGTTGTATCCGACTCTTTGTGACCTCATTTGGGATTTTCTTTGCAAAGATACAGGAGTGATTAGCCATTTCTTTCTCCAGCTCATTTTACAAATGTGGAAACTGAGGCAAACAGGGTTAAGTGACTTGGCCAAGGTCACACAGCTAGTAAGTGCCTAAAGCCGAATTTTAACTCAGGTCTTCCTGTGTCCAGGCCCAGCACTCTATCCACTGTGCCACCTAGCTGCCCTATTAAGAGGAAAAGATAGTGAGTTTTCTTTTGGACATATTAAATTAAAGATGTCTGCAAGACATCCATTTCAAGATGTCTAAGAGGCTTTGGGTTACACAGGCCTGGAGCTCAGGAGAGCTAGGCTAGGTGTGCAGATCAGAGAATCATCTTTGTAGAGACAATCGAACCGACGACAGTGGGGTTATGGCCCTATTTGGCAGACTGGACCCCTTCTTAGAATATTCTTAAAATGTATAAAATAAAACAGAAAACATAGGATTACAAAAGAAAACAATTATGTTAAAATAGTTATCATTTTCAAAAAACAAGTTCACAGACCCTCGGTTAAGAACCCCTGGTATAGAGGGAAAAGAGGGCCCAGAATAGACTCTTGGAAGCACCCACCATAAATGGTCATGCAAATAGGACTGAGGAGAAACAGTCAGGAAGAATACGCAGGAAGCAGAAGGGAAACCCTAGAGAGGAGACTAGAGAGGAGAAGAGGGTGATGAACAGTTTAAAAGGTTGTAGAGAGGTCAAGGATGCAGATTAAGAAAAAACCACGAGATCTGGCAATGAAGAAGACCCTTGGTAACTTTGGAGGCACCTAGACTTTTTTTGAAGAGTTTAAGGTAGCTAAGTGGGAATGGTCAGATGAGTGAGGACTTTTTTAGAAATTTGCTTACTACTTTTTTTTTAATTTTTTTGAGTAAGGACTTTTTTAAGCATGGAGGAGACGTGGATGTGTTGTAGGTAGTAGAAAGCAGCCAATAGATCAGAAGGTTTAAGATCAGTGGGAGAGTGGGGACAGCAGAAGGGGCAGCCTACTGGAGAGGCCAGGATGGCATAGGATAGATGGCATACTTAGAGGGGTTTGCCTTGGCAAGAAGGGTCACTTAATGGCGTGGGAAGACACCCAAATAACTTGAAATAAGGAAAGGAGAGGAGAGCTCTCAGTGAACGGGCTCTGTTTGTTTCAGGCAAAGTCCTCAGCTGACAGTGTGGGGAGGAATACCATAGGAGGCTTGAGGAGAGATGAAAATAGCAGCGGTGGCGAGTTGGATGAATTAGGGCAGTGTGCAAGGACTGCCGTGTTGCAGTTGGGTTCCTGCTGAGCTTATGTAACAAATTTGTAGTGGACCCAGTTAGGATGGTTCTGAATTTTTCTCACCCTCTGAACAGAAGTGATAGTGGTGGATGGTGGGAGTTATCCAAGGATAGGGTTTGACAGGGCATTGTCAGTGACAGGACAAGAGCCTCAAGTGAAGAAAATAGGATGGGGTCGGACTAGTTCACCACAGGGTCAAGGTAGGGAAGGGAGGACAGTATAGCCAGTGTGGGGGAAAGAGCCTGGGAAAAAACTGAGAAGTGAAGGGATTACAGGTCACGGGGAGGGCAAAGAACAAGTGAAAACCGAGGGTCCTACAGGCAGAGGGGAAGAAAGAAAGAATGATAGGAAATAATGAATGGCCAGATAAAGAAAAAGGCCTCATAGGGACAAACTGGTGGAATATGGCTTTTTTCTTTATTTAGAAAGCAATTCACCAGTAACAGTGTGGGAGGACTTGAACCCTGACAAAGGTGTGGAAAAGAAACCCAAGAATTGTGTATGGAAGAGCCATTCTGCAGGCTTCCCAGTACGCCTTTATAGCATGATAACATACAAGTCTCCTTGTGTTTTGTCAGCTGTATAATCAAGCGAGCCAAACCTGCATACCAGTCATTAGGTACTAGAAAAGGGAAATGACAGAATCCCCAGTCCAGTTAGTTGAGGTCACTTCCCAGGCAGGACTTTCATCTCACAAGCCTGTCGCCTCTCCTTCCCCAGGCTTAGCTCTGTCTCCCTGTACCATGAAGATCTGCGAGTCCTAAGGCAAGTCATTTTAGGGGATGAGGCCAGGGACCAGGAGAGTCAAGAGGCCCAACACAGGCCAGGCCGTGGGTCAGGCGATTTTATGGCAGCCAGACCTGGTAGGAAGGAACGGGGCAGTGAGGAGCTGCTCAGAGTCCAGGAAGATGTAGCTGGGCTGGGTGCTGGAGAGAGAGACCCCAAGGCGTCCTGGAATGTTGCTCTTCCTTCCCCTCTCTCACACTAATCCTTTCTGTCAGTAGTCGACTTGGCTTAGGCAAAGCAGGTTTCTGGGTCCCCAAAGTCCTCTTAGGCAGAAGCTGAAATTCATGGTTTCAGAGTGACAAAAGCAGTCCTGGAGGCTTTTGACCCTAGAGATTCAAAAGGGGAAGAAAAAGGCAACAGAGAAAAACATTTTAATTCAGCCACTCCTTTGGGTCTAGAACAGTGCAGTAGGTTCAAATTCCCAGCTTCCTTTTCATCCTCCTCCCACGAAGACAGGTCCTTCCAGAGCAGCTGGGATCCCTACAAACTCCCAACAAAGACTGGTGCTTATGTAAAAAAACAAAAACAAACAAACAAAAAAAAAAAACCCATTGCTCACTGGATCACTCCAGAATCCAGAAACAGAAGACCTCAATCCTGGGCTGCTCCTCCGCTGCCCCTCCTGTCGGCTACATTTGTGGCACCAAGCAATAACTTACAAAGTAGGGTTCTCACCAGGATTTGTCCTGGATTTCCATCCCTTTCCTAGAGGCAATTCCTGCTAGACGCAAATTTGGGAGGAAAGCCTCATTGTTTGTCCTGAGTCTTATTTTATCCTAGATTTATAGACAAGGAAGTCGTGCTGATTCATAAGCAGTAAGCAAAGCATGCTACATACATAGCCTATTTTTGGAAAGGCTCGAGTTTTGCAGGGTATACAGCAAGGACTGCAGGAGAACACCTATTCCTACATATATGTTTATATAAAATTTAGACTGGTTTCCAAGAGCATTTACACTTTGTAATTATAGCCAAAACACAGTCAGGTAACAAATTTGCTTACTGAATGAATGCATACAATAAAAGGAGAGGGTGTAGCTGGCATATTGTTTTGTGAAGTGGATTATTTGTATGGAAATCCTGGCTAACAATGTGTTGCTATATAAATAATAAAAAACAATCCTTTTTTAAAAACCACCACCACAAACAAAAGACTTAATAATCCTTTTAGTGTCTATAGCCCACAGGTTTTTTTCAACAACAATCAGGAAACCTAATACCAAGAAATTAAATGACTGGTCCAGGGTCCCAGAATCTCACCATGTTAAGAACTGTAGGGCTCTTATACAACCCCCTCATTTTACATGTGAGAAAAACAAGAGTCCCAGAGCAGGACTTGACCAGGGTCACACAAACAAGAAAATAGCAGGAACAGGCTTGGAACCCAGGAGTTCTCTGACTCCCGGGCCTTTTTTTTTTTTTTTTTTTTTTTTGCTCTTGACTTTAAAATATAAGGTCCTCATTCTGACATTTCAGTAATTCAGATCCTGTGCACCTCAGAATCAGGGTAAGCCACCCAGACTGGGTTATTAACATTTTCCATTCAGTCGGAGATTTCCCAGAGCAGGGGCTGAGTGCCCAACCCCAACTCTCCTGGTCCTCCCTCCAGCCGCAGCACTAGTCCCCAGGCTCTACCACTCATGGTTATGTCAGAGGCCAACCCTATCTATCCAGAAACATCCTGCAGTGGGGGAAAGGGCTTTAGAATTGGGAGTCAGTCACTGGTGACCTGATAATGATAATTTACTAGTTCTATAACCCTGGGAAATCATCTAACTTCTTAGTTAACCTTACTTAGTTTGCTCACCTATAAAATAGAGATAGCACTACTGGTTGTGCTAAGGCAAATTATCTGGAAACCCTAAATTCCCACAGAGATCTGAGCTATTTTTAATCTCGGCCGTACCAGGAGCTGGAATCCAATCTACAACCACCAGCCTCCAGGAATAAGTTTATTGAATGAATGAGTGAATACGGTGACTCCCCTAGAGGGGAGGGGAGAGGTGGCAGGCAGTTTTGGTTCGGGGCAGTAGGCTGGGAAATCCTGGGTTACAGTGAACAGGGAGTGACTCAGTAAGGGCCAAGGGAACCATTCCTCTGGAAGGAGGCAGTCAGTCCCCTTCCATACTATATGGCTGTGACTGTTAGGAAGTTTTTTCCCTTCTATCTAGTAGAAATAGTCTCTTGCAAGATGCCTGATTTTGCTTGCTGGAGTCCCTCAGAACCCAGGAGTCCTGCCAGTCTCTCCCTCCCATACCCTTCTCTTACCTGTGCCACGGCCTGCGCTGCTTTCATCCTGAGGCTGGGTGGAAGTTTTTCCTTCTGGCACTGCCGGAAGCCTCTTGGCCCTGGCCTTGGCCAGGTTCGCTTCCTCTGATGGCCACTGAAGCGTAGCCCGTTTGCCAGCCGAATTACGGGCCGTGTAGCTGTACACAGACATGTAGCCCTTGCTGGTGAGCGGGCAGAAGCGCTTGGTGTGGGCATTGTCTTGGGTGGCTCTGCACTGTGGGCACACATATTTTCTCAGGATGGGGCACACCACCCGGCCTTCCTCGTCCTTCAGTGTGTGGGACAAGTAGATGTTTCGAGACTCCCCATTGTGCTTGCAAAAGGTGCAAAGGGGATCCTTGGGGGGCAGGAGGTCCTGCCTTAGGCTGGGGCCAGGGCCTGGGCCAGGCTCTGTCCCTACCCCCTGGGGCTCCAGCTTTTCTTCCCTGAGAGCCCCCACCACACTGGCGAGTCCCAGATAATCCCTCCACAGATTGAAGTCCTCCATCTAAATCGAGGACCCTGTAGTGCAGGCCACCAGCCCTGGTGGGGAAAGATGATGGGATTAGGGCTAGGCAGGGAAGCTAGGGCCTTAAGTATCCTCAAGCAGCCAATTACAACTGAAAGGAGCAAAAGAACCCTCGCTAGCCGCCCCCCACCCCCAGCTCCCACCTCACTTGCAGACTAGAAGTCTACAGGTTACCTCCGCTCCAGAGGGACTTGGGGGAGGGGTCTCTTCCTTTTAGCTCCACATTCAAATAGCCTCTGGTAGAGCTCAGGGCTAGAGAACTAAGAAATCTTCAACTTGCATTTTAATGGAGGGAAGGAGGGAAGGAACCACCCACCCGGCCCCCACCCTACCCCCACCCCACCCCCACACTCTGCTACTGTGTAGTTCTCCCCTGGGTTAGAGGAACACTCTGTGCCTCAGTGCCTCCTGGTCTGGGTGTGACTTTCCTAGCCTTAGGTTGCAACACTCTGGTGGGCCAGTTTCTCCCCCAACCCCTCAGGATTGGCATGCCACAGCCTCAGGTTGCCAGGCTCTGAAAACCAGGATGGTCAAGCAGAGGGGCTCTGGCTCTGGGGTATGAGGGCCTGGGTTTGTATTCCAGACTTTGGGCAAGGGCAGCCAGGTGGTGCAGTGGTTAGCGTACCAGGCTGGAGTCAAGAAGACCTGAGTTCAAATTGGGCCTCAGACACTTACTAGCAGTGTGACCCTGGGCAAGTCATTTAGCCCTGTTTGTCTCAGTTCATCATGTGTAGAATGGGGACACAATGGTGAAGAAAATGGCAAACCACTCTAGCATCTTTGCTGAGAAAACCCCAAATGGGGTCACCAAGGAGTCAGACAATTTGGGCAAGTCACTTGCCTTCCTTGCAAAGTGACTTCCTCTGTCTCTTCTTCTGTAAAACGCTGAAGGCTCAACTAGATGAATCTAATCTAAACCCTTCTCTCTGGGGCCTCGGGCTAAGGCTGGAATAGGCAGGGCTTCAGTGGCAGCCCTTTGCTTGCTAGGCAGTCCAGTAATTTATTTAGTAAATAATTCACCGTCACTTACCAAATGTGTTTGGAGGGCCTAGCATATGAGCCCTGGCCTGGGAGTGGAGAGGCCGAAGGAAGATCTTTCTACGTAGAAATACCACTTGGCTTGCTCTCCTTTGGTGTAGACTACTGCAATAGCCTGTCTATCGGCTTTCCCTGCCCCCACTCCAGTTGGTCTTTGACACAGTTCTCTGAGTGATTTCTGGACCAGGGAATTCTCAAACTCCAGAGGCTCTCTATGACCTCCAGGATCACCTCTAGGCTCCTGTTTGGCACTTGGAGCCCTTCGGACCCCTGGCCTATTTCTCTAGCCTTATTCTACATTACTTCCCTTCCCAGTGGTTCTCTCCTACCTCCTTTGCACTGGCTGTCTGCCATGGTTGGAATGCACTCCCTCTCTTCACCTGTTTCTTGGAATTTCTCAGCTCCTTCAACACTCAGCTTGAGAGCCCTGCAAAGCCTTGGCTGATCGCTGCACTGCTAGTGCCCTCCCCCGTTAGAATCCCCTGTATTATTTTGTATCTAATTTGTGTTTTCCAACATGTATACATATTGTCTCCCCTACAGGGCACAGGTGTCTTTGTATCTCCAGCCTTGCACAATGCCTGTGGGGCTCACTGGAAAAGCAAATGCTTGTTTACTGACGAATATGACCAGGGCTCAATGAGTAGTCCACTTAGTTTAATAAGGGCTCCTACAGCTCCAAGAAAAGAGAGGTGAGTCACTCAGGACTGGGCTAGTCTTGTAAGGCAGTGGGATCAAAATCAGAAGCAAACACTTCTGAGGAGGGACCTGGTCAAAAGAAAGAAAAGAATAAACGGGGGGCGGAATAGGATTAAGGGAAATATATTTAGTTTTTCACAGCATGTCTACTATGGAAGTGTTTTGCATAACTGCACATATATAACCTATATTTAATTGCTTGCCTTATCAATGACGGTAGGTAGGGAGGGGAGGAAGGGAGAAAATTTGGAACCCAAAGTTTTAAAAACACATGTTTTAAAAAATGTTTTTTCATGCAACTGGGAAATAAGAAATACAGGAAATGGTGTACAGAAATCTATCCTGCCCTACAGGAAAATAGAAGGAAAAGGGGATATGAGAAGGGAGATGGTGATAGAAGGGAGGGCAGATTAGGGGAAGGGGTATTCAGAATGCATGCCATCTTGGGGTGGGGGGAGGGGCGAGATGGGGTGAAAATGTGGAACTCAAAATCTTGTGGAAGTGAATGTTGAAAACTAAAAATAAATAAATTTTAAAAAGGTAGTGGGATCAAACTCAAACAGAAATAGGGCTGCATACTGACTCAGACATTATCCTGTCATAATTTTATTTTGTTAAATATTTCCCAATTATATTTTAATCTGGCTCTGCCTCATTCGCCAGTTTTGCTGGCACCAATGCAACCAGGGTGTTCTAGAGAGTCCTATTTGTAGGTGAGAATAAGACAACCTTAAGCCCTTGGGTTCTAGCCACTGTGTCGTTGGGGGATGTCCCTTCCCAGCTCTGGACCTCAGTTTCCTCATCTCAGTCCATATCTCTCCAGTTTGTCCTCAAGAACAGCTGGAGAGACTTTGCCAAATGACCCTCCCAGCCTAGTAACCCTGACGAAAAAAAAAAAAAAGGAAAAGGAAGTCAGAGTGTTCAGGCACACGTTTTTGATAAAACCTTTGCTGGCTCTTTGGGAACAAGGATTTCTTTTCTAGATTGACAATGGTGCTGGTGAATAAAGTGCATGATCTGACCTCTCTGACACTTAGGAGCTAGAGGGCTGCCAAAGACTACTTCTCTGGGCCTCAGTTTCCTCATCTATAAAATGGGGGCAATAATACCTATACAGTACAGGTATTACCTGTATAACCCTCCCAGGGTTGTTGGGTGATTCAAATGATTTCAGTGCCCATTGAGGGCTTTGCAAACCTCAAAGTACTATGTCAATGTAAAATATTTCATCTAATTTAAATGGTCACTCACCATTCCTTTAAAAATAATTCTAAAAAACTTTCTAGACACAGAGAGCAAGCTCACAGGCCTAATTTTCACTTCACTTTTTTACAGCCCTTTTGCAGTCCGGGAGTAATTCTCCCATCCTACAAGATCTTCCAAAGATGACTCAGTAATCCCATCAGCCAATCTGGAGCTCCCCTGGAGTGTAGCCCCTCTGGACCTGAAGCTACTAAGGGAAGCCAGGTATTAGGATATACCTACTTATCTTGGGTTTCCACTCCCTAATGGACATTTTTGTCAAGTTCTTTTCAGAACAAAGATTATTGTCCTTGGAGGAGGGGGAAAAGGGTATATTAAAATAACACAGCACCATCTTCTCTCCAACATTGTTATCCAATCCTCCCCAAGCTGCCATCTTTCTTCCAGTTTATCAATCAATATTGTAAACAAGCAGTTTAATCAGCCCCTCACATAAGCCCAAAACAGAAATGTAACAGTCCCACACCTCCAGGAGCTAACCTTCTGAGGGGATGGGCCTGGCCTGTGGACTGGAGGAAGACAGGTATACAGATAAGCAAATAGTAAATACCAACAAAGCCAATATAAAATAATTTGTTTGGGGAGGGGGAGGGAGGGAAGGTGCAGGTACTGTGTGCGCTTCTTCCAGCACAGCATAATAATAATAAATAATAAAAATAACAAAATCCTTTTCCATCCTTCCTTAGCTTTCCTGAATTCACTCTGTGATACTTTGCTCTGGACCCTTTTTACAAGACCTACAGTTCATTTATGATTATCCTCCACTGTCAGTAATAATAGCTAACAAATGTTAGTGTTTAGAAAATATAGTGCTTACTCTGTGTCAGGCACAGTGTTAGGCGTTTTACATATATCATCTCAGATGATTCTCACAACAACTTTGGGAGGTAAGTGCTATTATCCCCATTTTACACATGAGGACACTGAGGCAAACAGGTTAAGTGACTTGCCCAGGGTCATACAGCCAGTGTCAGAGGCTGGATTTGAAAATAATCTCGGGTTTCCCTGACTTAAGGCCTAGTACCCTGCCCTCCTTTAAAAATCTAAATTAACCCATGAGTTCCCTGTGCATCAATAGCAATCCTTTTAGTGAACCCCCAACACTATTTCCTCCTCAGAGTTGTTTCTTTGGGAGAAATGGCTTAAGCTCGATTGGCCTCCAATGGTTTTGTCCTCTAGGGCGACCAGCCCCTCTTCTTCCTCAGCCTAGTGGTTGCTGCTGCCCAAACCATTCCGTCCCATCCCACTTTCCACCCGACGCTGTTTAGGGCTTTCGGGGTCTGCGGAGGAAACTAGAAAACTAAACTCCTGGGACCTGCTGAGAACTGAAGCAATCATCCCACTCGGGCTCCTCCCCTCTCCATTTCCCAGCTGTTTCCGCTCCCACTCCCCCCTATCCATAGCAGGAGGGTGGGTAGTACCTTTCCACCTCCTGGCTTGGCTACACTGTATCTGACATGAGCTCCCACCTCCTTCCTGGAGTTGAATCTAAGTCCTTAGCTTTGCGGAGAGGTTGGACTATTCACCGGTCCCCTTAGTGAACTAAATCCTAATTGAAGGAGGAGAGAGAGGCCTCCCTTCCTTCCCACCCCATGCCCGCAGGGGCTGTTGGGGCAGCACTTTTACGGATCTGGGAAGGAGAAGGCATTGGAACTACCCTCTCCCCTTCCTCCCCTCCGGGGCACAGGCCTCAGAGGAAGAAAGGAAGCCCCCCCCACAGGCTAGGAAAATCTCTCCCCTTCGCTAGGTACCTCATTAAGGGAACAGGGCTGTGCGTACTGGTGGTCACCCATGACCTTCCCAGCATTGCCCAATGCCAGGAAGCAAGACCCAAATTAACAAGTCCCTGCCTGTGCCCTTCTCCAGGTGTCTCTGGGGAGCTAAGTCCTGGTTCAGGCCTTTCCCAGTGCATTCCTCCTCTTCTTGCCTTCTTCTAAACTTAGGAGGCAGAAGACCTGGGTTCTAATCACAGCTTCCATCCTTACCGTGGGAACTTGGGTAAGGCACTTCCAATTTCCTCATCTGAAAGATTAGCAGTTAATGAAAAACAAAGCTGTCAGAACTACCCTTTGTTTGAAGATAAGTGTCTCCTCTTAGGGGTGTCAAATAAACCAGCAAACACAGCTGGAGGCAAAAAGAGGTAGAAGACAATTCTGCCCAGCAGGAATTAACTAAATGCCAGGCCCAGGGACTTTGGAGAGGGAGGACCGGATGCCCTGGTGCCTCACGGCACAAAACGGGCTGGAAGTCGGATGGGATTCCCTAGTAGTTTGATTATGACAACCTTGAGATTTCTAGCTGAGGGGAACCCTCATTAGACAGAAGAGGATCCAGGTGGAGGAGAACATTCACATCCTGGCCCCTCCCTGCCTTTCCAGGCTTCTTACACTCGACTCTGTCCTCTATGAGGTTCCTCCCACACGACTCCATCTACCTCTCCAGGGCCTTTATTCCCCATGCCTGGAATTCTCCCCATCCTCATGTCTGGCCTTCCTTCATGACTCTTCAAATCCCACTTTCCACAAGAACCTTTTCAGCTCCCTCTCTCCCCATCCCCATGAAATTCCCCACTATTTACATTATATAGATGCATGTCCCCCATTACAATTTGCATTCCTAGAGGGGTAAGACCATATTTTTGCCTTCCTCCACAGCCCTAGCTTAGCCCTGTGCCCTTAATAAATGCTTGTTGACTGACTAACAGACTAGAAAGCAATAGAATGCTCTGAATCCAGGTTCTTGACCATAAACCCGGGCTTCTCTCCATACCTGGTGCTGCCTCCACTTTCATTCTGTGGGTACAATCCCTTCATTATACCATTCAAAGTCTGCACATGTCTATTGGCTCATAGAATACTGACAACCACCCAGAGAAGTGGAACAAGGGGGGATTTCTCTCTACGTTTAAGAGTTGAGGAATATTGGGAAGTTGTCTGTCCAAGGTCACAATACTGTAGGGTAAGAGTGGGCCCCAGGCTGGGAGTCTGTCCGACTCACTCCCGGCCCAGGACCTTCCCGATTGCCTTGTGGTCTCCTTGACCCCATGGAGCTCTATCGGTGCAGCCCCTTCTTCTTCCTGTGCTGTCCAACCCTTGTCTCTCCAGGTCCAAGTCTGGCCCAGCCACAGTGACATTCATCCATCGGTGAGTTTTTCCTCACATCTCACAACCCACCGACAGCAATGAATGTTGATTGTGACCTTTGGTTTAGATGGACAAAACGACCTAGGATTGAGAGGCATGGCTCAAAGGCTGGATATTTAGCCTGAATTCATCCAGTTAACACAGTACTGTAGACTGCCATAGGCAGATGACATTTGAGGAGTGGAAAAAAATGGCCTGAAGGTCAAAATAGAGACAAGGGACCCAGAAAATTCCAGGCAGTCTATGGCTCGTGGTATAAGAGGAGAGCCCTGCACCTTGTCAGTGACTCTAGACCCTCTAGTCATCAGGCCTGGGCTCCCTGGCAGGCATCAGGTGGTAATTTAAGGTTGCAGGGTCCACTCAACGGTCGATGGTTTGCCTTCAGCTGCTCAAACTCACCGACAGCGTTGAATGTTCCCCCAAACCTTTGGCATCTCATGGGAGGCAGACTCCTTGAAGGTAGGAAGATGGGCCTAGGGGTGGAAATCCCAAACACCCTCCCTACTCTGCTCCCTTTCCCCATCACTCCTCTGAGTTGAAAGCAGCATCTAGGACAGGACACCAGGCTGCACGGGAACCCAGGTGGAATTGAGGTAATTGCCCCATGCTGTTTCTGCTGTTCCTTCTTCCTGGAATGGCCTTCCCCTCTTCTCTTCTTCACCT